GCGATATGTGAAGCATCATTCATGCCAGATGTAAGAACTATTTTCCCTAAGTTCTTTCCAGCTGCTCTGGAAATGTCCTTTGAGTGATTTCATGCCTGAGAGGGTGATACTATTTGGATCTTCCATATTTGGCATTAAAAGTTTCAGGCCAAACTATACCCCAACAGTGTTCATGTCTGCTTTTTCTTTAGGCCATGTGGTATAAGCATAGTCCTTCTGTGAGAAATAATTTTTCTGCAGCTGCTGAAGCGCCTAGGGGCTCTCTCAGTTCTGTTGAGGTGCTGTCAGGCCCGCCCTTGATTTCTTTGTTTGTGCATGTGTTCAAATGTTAGGGATTCTGGTTATACTCCCCGGGCCTCTCCTGCAATAAATAAAAAAGAGACATACATTCACCTCAGATGAGTTGTCTGGAGCCTCAGCGATGATTGCCAAAGAGACATGCTTAGCAGAAACCTATCACACCCTCTTATAATCTCATAGTATATCTCCTTTCTCTCCCCCACCCACAGTCTATAAACGAATCCTAAGAAAAGGCCAAGGTTTGCAGCAAGCCCTGACAATTCCTTGATCTGGTGGGAACGAAGGAAAGTGAAGATCTGTGGGGAAGAGCACCTGTCTGGTTGAGTCCTGGGGCACAAGTTAATTAAGTAGTTGACATATTTATATCCCATCTTTTGAGTTTTATGAAAAACGATCCCAAAGACTAAATTGACTGTGGTGTATGTTTCCTAGTCCAGACACATAAAGTATTGTTCCGTGCTAGCCTGTCCTAGGAACAGCTGTTTTCAGATGTTTCCTGGGTGGGTGTTGTAGCGGTATGGTTTTCCCCATACTCTCTGCTGGGTTGTGTTTTTTTGTCTAGAATTCTGCATGAAAGCCCCCCACCTCCCAGGTCTATAATTGGAATACATTATGCAGATTCCGCAAAATGAATGTAAATTCCCAATTCAACTGGTATCCTTTGTTCTTGTGGAGGAGCAGCGGAGAGGTTCAGCACCTCTAGTTTCATGTCTGAGGCCAGATCACAGGGCATGCTGGAGTTCCATGATGGAATCTCCCATCCCAACTTTTTCTTTCTTTCTCATATAACCCTGAAAACATGTCTGTCTAGTGCATCTTTACTTTCCTTTAAGGAGCTTAAAATGACATCCATTCTCCCTTGTCTGCTTTATTTTCACAAGAGCCCTGTGAGGTAGATCAGGCTGAGACTATATAGCTGTCCCAAGACCATTTAGTGCTGAACCTCTCCGCTGCATTCCTCCACAAGAACAAAAGATACCAGTTGAATTGGGAATTTACATTCATTTTGCGGAATCTGCATAATGTATTCCAATTATAGACCTGGGAGGTGCAGGGCTTTCATGCAGAATTTTAGACAAAAAAATACAACCCATCAGGGAGTATGGGGAAAACAATACCGCTACAACACCCACCCAGGAAACGTCTGAAAACAGCTGTTCCTAGGACAGGATAGCATGGAACAATTGGTTGGTATCTTGGTACAGGCTAGCACGGAACAATTGGTTGGTAACAATTGGTTGGTATCTTGGGGAGAGGCTCCATCAACTACCCTGCGAGTCTGGAGCCTCTCCCTCAAACCCCCTCCCCTCCAGCCCCCAGAATATACCCTATGTTTTCCCCATTGACTTCAATGGCCCATAGGATATAATGGGGCTGAATTGCCGCCGAAATTCGGTGGCAATTCAGCAGCAAGCCAGTTCAGATCAGAGAATCTGAATCGGCCTGCAGCAGCTTGAAAGGGGGCCGAATGGTCCATTTTCGGGGGTGCATTCGTTTTGGACGAACCGAATGCACATCCCTAACAGCTGGGGGAGTTAACTTCCTTCTTCCCTGGCACTGCAAGCTTGAATTCATGTCAGGATCCCCCATGGCTGCATTGTGCAGCAAAACTGCACACTGCGATTTGACCGCAGATCGCCAGTATCGTGTGTTGTTTGACCTTGAATTATATAAGCAATTAATCAGAAGGCATTTTTAATTGCAGATTCTTTAAGTTCACCTTGAGTAATTGATGGGAATTGGCTGCGATATGCAAATATTATCTGATTTAATAAACTGGTCAGATTTGGGTGTTCAGTTATAAATTTCTGTTCATCATCAGCAGAAGACCGAGTACTTACTATGGATGGTTAAACAAGGTACTTGGTGCTCAGTTGCTTGAAAGGTCAAAATCCAGCCTTATTTAAAACTACTGTAGTTCTGCACTAGTTTTGTTTATTCAGGAGGAGAATCGTACTAATAATTTTTTATTTTTAGTTTATTTACTTTTTATGGTCCACTTTCTCATTGAGACCATTCTCTCTTATGCATGAATTTTCTAAAATTTATTTACATTGTTTTTAAAATTTATTAATTTTTCAACATGAAAAAATACAAATACAAAATGGACAATGTAAAACAATTAACAGCATAAACAACAGGATCAAAAAGTAAGTTAAGAAAAAATATATAAAAAATCTTAGTGACACAGAAATAAGGATATATATGGTATCAACAGTTTAACATTAACAAATAATGACAGAGGCTTAAATATAGACAAGACTTAACCACAAATTCAAATCATTGACTACATCTGGTATTACATCATGGTGAACTAAATATTCTAGAATAGGCAACCAAATTATAGCAAAATTTGTGGAAGATTTATAAGAATTTGCATCATTTATCCTATCAGTAATTTTTGACATAATATACGGTTTCCATAGTTTAGAATGCCAATGCTGCCTATTTGGACTTACAGTATTTTTCCAGAACAATGCAACAGTGTTTTTAGCTGCAGACAGTAAAATAGTTATACGTTTACTAGTATCTCCAGAATATATTTTGGCTTGCCACCTGTTCAACCGTAAATTGCAATTCAACCCCTGTAATGCCTTTAATTTGATTAATGACATATTTCCAAAATAATTCCAGCCTGGGACATTCAAGCCAGCAATGCGTGTAGTTACCAAGATTTCCACATTTTCTCCAACATAATGGTGATGTGGTCCACCTTTCTCACTGAGACTCAAGGCAGATTACAAAATGTAAATCAGTGCCAGTCAATAGGATGTTACATCTAATAAGCGATGTAATAGGACTAGGAATTGCAGACAGGGTTGTCTTCTGAACAAAGTTTAAGTGTAAAATGTGACAAGCTAAGGGTGGGGGCTGCTACAGAGAATGCTCATGTACGGGCAGTTGTTGGTCTTGCCTGTCTGCAAGGTGGCACTTGCAGAAGATCCCACTCAGATGAACGACGTTGTCGTGGTGGGACATAGGTAGAGAGGCGGTTTTGGCAGTATGAGGGTCCAAGGCCTTGAAGGCCTTTGTATGTGATAGTTATTACTTTGAATTGTGCTTGGTAACTGATGAGCAGCCAATGAATAAAGTGTCATGTGAAAAAATAACTATCTTTAGGAAGTTAGCATACTGGGAAGCAGACCTCTAGCTCTCCTGGTAAAGTAACACTTCAGAATGCACTGGGGGGGGGAGAGAAGTTAGATGAGTGAACTTCTATGCTAACAACTTGCAGTAAGAAAACTAGCCTGCTGTGGCTGGAAGAAGCTTTCTGCAACAGGAGTGCTGTGTGGTTGACAAGCCCTCAAGAAGCTGTGCAGCCTTGACAGAATGCCTCTGGCTTTGTCCTGAGAGCCAGTGCAGCATTGCAGGAAGCAGTTGTCCAAATCAGCCTCTTGTCTTGGGAGCACAGCTTGCAAGCTTCTAAAAAAACTCAGTGTGCTTGATGTGAACCCAAGTTAATTGTCTTCCCTTCCCTCATGCTGAACAGGAAATCATTGCTGCATTCAGATGTCACGACCACTCTCTCATTTGCTCAAGTTTGTAGCAAGGCAGGATGTGCTTTACCCGACTACTAAAGGCCGTTAATATAGCAGCAGGCAAACGTTGCTTGGAAGAGAAGGAGGTTTCACCACTGGGGAGCCGCCACAGAAAACACCCTGCCTTTGGTAACCAGTCACCTGATTTCTGAAATGGGGGGGGGGGTAATCTGAGAAGGCGCTTGAATTTTCGGGGTCTGTATCAGATTATTATAAAATGTCACAGGGGCTTTGTGCATGAACATAACTGACTCCAGTAATCCTTAAACCTTGGCTTAATCTTCCCAGATATCTCTCTGCACAGCACTGGCCTTGGTCATGCCTGACCTAGGGTAGTTTGCGGCACTATTATTTTAAAGAGAAAATGAGAGAGAAGGATGATAACAGTGTGGGGAGCTGGGAGAAGAGAAATGGAAACTAATGGGAAGCATACTAAACAGAGGCCGAGTTCTCACTGAGGTGTTCAGCTTTTGTCTGGGCTGTACTGCTTCAGCTACTGATGGCAGCCCACGTGACTGGATGCTCCTCCGTACCAAAGAAAACCCCCTCTGTGTAGAAGATAAGTATGCCAAGGGCAAAAAGTGTTAAGCATAACCTTCTCCCTGACAAGCTAACTTTTTGTATGCAGGGATTTAAAAAAATTAATCATATGAGCCCCCACCTCAGGGTAGCACAGCCCAGACACAGGACTAGAGTCGTGGTGAATAAAATCTAAAAACTGGTCCCATGATGGAGCTAAACATGCATTCCAGCGCTGACAATCAGGCTGAAGCTCACCACCGCAGCATTATTTATATAGGAAGTGTGCTCTTAACATCACTGCCACGGGGGGTGGGGGGGTGGCTAGAGCATGGATGGCTTCAAGAGGGAATTGGATAAACATATGGAGCAGAGGTCCAAGTGGCTATTAGCCACAAGGTATAGATAGGAACTCCTGGTCTGGGGCAAGTGATGCTCTGTATTCTTGATACAACAATGGGAGGCAACAGTGGGAGGGCTTCTAGTGTCCTGGCCCCACTGCTGGACCTCCTGATGGCACCTGGTATTTTTGGCCACTGTGTGACAGAGTGTTGGACTGGATGGCCCATTGGCCTGATCCAACATTGGCTTCTCATGTTCTTATGTTCTTAACTTGGTTCTTCTGTCTTTCTTATTTTTCAGCATCTCATGAAGGTGATGTGGACTTGGTAGACAAATTTTCAGAGAAGAGCTTGCTGCAGAAGGACTTGGCTTCAGCAGAGGATGATTTGCAGGCAGACACTGCAGTCCCACAAGCTGACAAGCCATTGGCATCAGAACCCGAATTTGAGCTTGGCAGGGCTTCATCAATGACTCCCTGTGCGCCAGCAACGGAACCATCTGCAGAACAGCCTGCAGCCGTGGCAGAGGAAAGGGCTTCTCTGGGAAAGTCTGATCTAGACCAAACGTTAGCAAGCTCCATCACCCAAGGGGAACAACAGAGGACACCCTTGGAAGACGCAGAGGTCGAGACTGAAGGGTCCACGGGAGCCAAGCTGAGTGGAGAAGCACTTGCTGTGAACAAAAGCAAGCTCCCAAGAGCAAAGCCTTTTGGCCTGCAGAAGAAAATGGGAGGAGAGAACGCTGAAAGCGAAACAGCCACAGAGGGGATCCCTGTACCCAAAGCTGCCTACCGCTTTGACCCAGAGACATACAACGAAAACATGAACCCATTTGTGATGGGAGGCTCCAGGCTCCAAAACTCTCCTCCTCCTTCTCAGCAAGGCTTTGTGCTTCCAAAGAGCGACACAAAGGAGTCCAATTTTGGGGCAGTTGGCGAGCTGGAGGGCCGAGCGGTGAGACTAGAGTTTGATTTTGTGGAAGGAGAAGAGAGCACGGAGGCCAAGAAAGCCCCGCTGAGGAAAACCGGCAGAAAGCCAGCCAGCAGATTGTCTCCTAAGAGGCAAAGAGGTGGTGCCACCCGACCTGTGGCAGGCACCGAGCAGGTAGCGAAAGCACCTGCTGCTGATGCACTTGAGGCGCCACTTCCTAAGGCCTCCCACCCGGTGGACAGCAGCCAATGGGGTGATCCTAACTTCAACCCCTTTGTGGGCAGCTCAGCTTTGCAGAGCTCCCCAACTTTGCAAAAGGGTTCATATCACTTTGAGACGGTGGACCCGTTCAAGCCCTCTGATGGTGCTGGAACTGACTCCTGCCCCACTGCAGAGAACAGCCTCAATGAGATTTTGGAGTCCCAGGTGCTGGAGATCCATGGAGGTGAACTGAAGACAGGCTCAGCTTCACCAAAGAAGGCCAAATCACGGTTGATAACGTGAGTGATGACGGCCTTGGGACCTCTAGCTCCATCAGAAGGGGTGGTAGCCCTCTGGCTGGCAAAGATGGATGCGGGGCCGTGCCTCACTCACACCAGGCAGGGCAGAATTATACAGATATTTGTTATGTATTGAATCACTCTTTTGTTAGTCATGAGCAAGAGGCATGGAGCTATTTGGGGTTCTGAAGCTCTGCCCCTTGACCTAGCAGTTCCCAAAGTGTGGACCAGGGCATATGAGAGAGTAGCCAGTTAAATATTTAAATCCTCCTCTGAGTGCCAAGGACGAATCCCCTCACCCAACACAAGAGGCTGCTTGCTGAATCTCAGCACATCACTATTCTGATTGCTTCTGTTCCCAGTCATCCCCTGCTTGGGGGTGGCAGGGGGAGGGATAGGTAACTCTCCAGTGTCTCTGTAGAATGAATCACTTAGAACAGAGATGCAGCAGACTTAACCCATCCCAGATGAGGCTGCTTGTTGCATCTCTTCATGAGTCTCTGTGTTTGGCTTGCCACCTTGTAAATAGGAGGCATGCCTAGAGTGATACAGGCATGCAAGGTAGGTTCCTCACTGGGCAGCTATTTCTTACCTTTTAAACACTTGGTGTAGAAGAGTGATGTGTGCTTCCAGCTATAGTTCTGCAAAATAAAAGCAGGCCTCAGCTGTTGGAGGTGTGGGAAGCCTCTTCCAAACCTGGAGCCTCTGTTATAAGGGCTAGACACTTGCATTGTTCAAATGAGAGTCTTGGGATTCTGAATTCTGCATTTGGATGGACACATAGAATATATGGAGCCCCAGGTGTAAGGATCGGCCTTATACTGAGCCAATTAATAGAGACCAGCATAGTACAGACCTGCCATCTCCTGACAGCTTAAATAGACACCGTGCATGGGGGCTTTTACATATGGAGCACCAGTCAACCACTAAGCTATGGTGCTTCCCTGTGAAAACAGGTTTTCTAAGTTTGACTGTAAGCCCACCTAGTCCAGTCCACCTGGCTGAGCAACACAGCAGAGTCTGGGCTGAGGCTGTTTTAGCCTTCTAGACCTTAGTAACTAGAGATGCCAAGCACTGATTGCATGGCTGTACCTCGTATGTGCTGTATGCCCAAAATGGGTCCATTCTCCATTTAGCTTCTGGGATGCAGGAAGGCATTCAGAGGTGAGTGTTCCTGTCAGTCAAACTGCAAAGTTCCCCAGCATGATTAAATAGATGGGATTGTGTTCTAATAAGTAGCAGTGCCTACAGACACTCTTAGGAGTAAAATTGTTTCTGGACTGTATCACTTTACACTGCAGGTGAGTAGACTGTATGATTGGATATGCTAACACCCTCTGTCCACGGAAGACTAGCAAGTCAGTGAAAGGACCCTAGCTTTGTCTTCTTCTTGGCATACCAACTTTCTTTGTATAAGGTCTCTTTTCCCCAAAAGGGGGGTGTCCAATTCTTCTGTCCACAGTAGTACAATGTAGGAACAGTTTTTGCTGTATTTGTTTAGAGACCCTGACCCTGTGTTTTAAAAAGTGAGTGGCTGTAGCTGTTGAGAGGGATTGGGATTGCAAGACTGGGGACTGGCAAGTTATGATTCCAAATAAGCATCTGATGACTGTGTGTTTTTGGGCACCCATTGTGCATCAGTGTGTTTGGTGGTGGAAAGTGCCATCAAGTCACAGCTGACTTATGGCAACCCCAGAGGTCTTTTCAAGGCAAGAGATGTTCAGAGGTGGTTTGCCATGGCCTGCCTCTGTGTAGTGACCTTGGTATTCCTCTGTGGTCTCCCGCCCAAATGCTAGCCAGGGCTGACCCCACTTAGCTTCTGAGATCAGGCTAGCACAATCAATGTAATTAGGTGACCCCAAGTACCTGCGGTGGCTCAAGTGGTTAAGATGCTGGACTGCAGGCTGTGGAAGGTCAGTAGTTCAGCAGTTCAAGACCCGGGTGCCGCAAGACGGAGTAAGCTCCCATCTCTAGTTCCAGCTTCTGCCAACCTAGCAGTTCGAAAGCAAGAAATTGCAAGTAGATAAATAAGTACCACTTCAGTGGGAAGGTAACAGCGTTCCGTGCGCCTTGGTGTTTAGTCATGCCGGCCACATGACCACGGAAACATCTTCGGACAGCGCTGGCTCTTCGGCTTTGAAACGGAGGTGAGCACCGCAAGCCTAGAGTCGGATTCGACTGGCTTTCGAGCAAGGGAGCCTTTACCTTTAAGTACCTGTACGGTGGGAGAGGAAGAAAATTCTATTCACTTTCTCAACACTAGACATAAAGATACTGTCCTGTTTTGCAGGACTTGTGTAAGGTTTATTGAGGTTATGTATATGAAACAGTTGAACATTTGAAATGTGTTCTGTAAATGATTACTATTCTTATTAATAATAGTTTATCAGTATAAGTTGCCACTTGAAAGCTACCTGTCTTGCAGTTACCACATGAATCCCGATACATTCAGGTGGGGGTAGCCATGTTGGTCTAAAGCAGCAGAACAAATTTTGAGTCCACTGGCACCTTTAAGACCAACAACGTTTTATTCTGGGTATAAGCTTTGATGTGCATCTTAAGAATCTGAAGAAGTGTGCATGCACACAAAAGCTTATACCCAGAATAAAACTTACTTGGTCTTAAAGGTGCCACTGGACTCAAGCTTTGTTCATATGAATCCAGTTTTCATTCATTCAGACTGGGGAAAAGGGGGCTTTGATTGGTAAAAGCCTGAAGGGGCACTTGCAGTTCTGCTGCCACTAAAGATGTTGCTCTCTTGAGAAGAAAACTGTTGCTCCTTTCCCATACAACAGGATGCAGCCAGGGAAGAGCAAAAGTTAACTTTCACTCAGAGCATCAAAATAGCTTGAGCCAGTCACGTTTGGATTGCACAAGAGGCAGAAATCCAGCAGCCTTGGATGGAGAAAACCTGATACAGTCTTGTGGAAGGCCAGCAGAGCAGAAATGACGCTTGTACAGGGGAGCTACATTTCCCCCATGGCTGCTTTAGACCTTCCCTCTTTAATTATTAAAATTTAATTATTAAGCGCTCCAAGGGCAGTCACAGGACCAGTGAGAGCCAAGGGCGGAATAGCCAAACAGGGTTTGGAAGTGCTTAGAGCAAGCAGTTCCAATGCCATTGGCTTACTTAGATAGGACTTGCGTCTCCCCCTCTGTGTCTCTTAAAGCCCAAAATACACAACACAAATTACGTAAGCCAGGACACCTTGAAACTTCTCCATTGCTCCATGTAGCTCCCAACACTGTGAGGGGGGAGGAGGAACTTCAGACTCCCCTCCCATGTTGTTTTCGCTGGTGGAAACTGCCATGCGGGGCTGTGCTGAGGAAGGGACAAACAGCACCCATGGCCATTTCCACTGACGACAAAAGTGTGGGAGGGAAGCCTGAAGCTCCTGTTCCCCATCACAGGGTCTGGAGCTGTACAGAGAAGGACAACCTATGCATGACAAGGTGTTGGGTCAGGCTCCCATATCCAGTTTGGTGTAGTGGTTAGGAGCGCGGACTCTAATCTGAGAGAACCGGGTTCAGTTCCCCAATCTTCCACATGCAGCTGCTGGTGTGACCTTGGGTCAGTCACAAGTTCTCTCAGAGCTGTTCTCTCAAGAGCAGTCCTTGAAAGAGCTCTCCCAGCCCCACCTACTTCACAGGGTGGGGAAGGGAGGGGAAGGGAAGGAGATTGTAAGCCACTCTGAGACTCCCAAGTGAAGGACGGGGTATAAATCCAATCTCTTCTTCTTCATCTTTTTCCTGACTTGTATCGCATGTGTTGTGTATTTTGTCCCTTGAGGTATCAGGTTTTCAAAATTCAGCAAATACTAGCAAACGGGTGAGAGTCAGAATTTCCACAATATGAAAAAAAATATTCTACACTGGAAGCTCTTCCATGAAAGAAATTGTATCTCATACCGAAATTGTCACTTATGCCGGTTGCTGAAATATTGGCCTGCGCTTCCCTGCCTGTGTGCACTGTACACATGAGAAGACTTAAATGTGCATGTATGATATCATCTACATGGATATACTTCTCAGGCAGAAACATTTGAAAGGGCTCTCCATTCCTAATGGAGGCGATCTGTTTTGTGCCAGCCAAACTGGGGACCTTGTAGAGAAGTGAGGGTCATTTGGGGGTATAGATCCAGTACACTGCAGCAGCTGGTATATATGGGGAGAGGGTAGGTGCCACTGGTGTTAGACAGCAGTTCAGATGTCCTGCAACAAATGTCAGCTCAGCTAGTTTATAAGAGGTGGGAGGTTAATAGGGGTGCCAGCCTCCAGGTGGGACCTGGGGATCCCCTGGAATTACAGCTGATGTCTCTGTGGTGTCATTCCCGCCCCCGCCCCCCCAAGTGCCCTGTCCTCGCCAGACTCCACTGCCTGGGGAGTTCCTTAAGCTGGAACTGGCAACCCTACCTCCCATCTCCCACTGGTGGCCAAGGGGGACCTGGCAACCCTAGTGGTTAGAGATCAAATGAGAACTTTGTCCCCCAAAGCTCACCTACTGGTACGCTTGGTGTCAGTGAGCAAGAGTGCATGAAATTGTGCCATAATAAGTAAAATTTTGTACCCAAGCCATCTGAACTCTGCATCTGGTAGGAATTATGCACATTTGCATAATTATTCTTCTATTCTACTTGCATTTTTTATACTCTCATGTAAAATTTTCTAAATATTGAGAGAACTTAAATATGCTTAAGTTCTGTTTCCAGCTCCTGGAAATCTCACTTGGCACCTCTCTGGCTTCTGATATTTGAGCTGGCTTTATCAGCATAACTTTTGAACGTACTTTTGTAGCTGTAAGGGCTAGAAACTTGGCTTAATAACTGTTGAATTCTGCACGCCGCGTGCTGTACCTTTTCTGTGCTCGCACATGAAACTGCCCTATTACTGAATCAGACTGTTGGTCTGTCAAGGTCAGTTTCATCTGTTCTGATTGGGCGCAGCTCTCCAGAGTCTCAGGTGGAGGCCTGTCACATCACCTTCTACCTAATACTGTTCACTGGGGATGGCGGGGAATTGAACCTGGGACCTTCTATGTGCAAAGCAGATGGTCTGCCACTGAGTCGCAGGTCCACCCAACTGTGTAGTTCTAACATAGGCACTGTGCGCAGCCTGCGAGCTCACTTCTTTAGAAATGTTCTGGTCTCCCAGCAACAGTGACCATTGGAAGTGTACATTTCTTCTTTCGCATGCTTCCCCACTCATGAAATTAAACTTTGCATTTTATCTAGCAAGGAAGTATATCCAGGTCTTTCACATGCTTTATTTTCTCCCCCCCCCCCTTCCATTTCTCTGCCTGTCTTTCTTGTCTGTCCATTATTGGTGCATCAGGACTACTGAACAAGTGAAATTTCTCTGTTTTCTGTTGTAAGTACTCTTTTTTTCTTTCTTTGTTCCTTGTTCCCTTTTGGGCTTTTTTCCCCCTTTGGGTTTTTGTCTCTGCTGCATGTAGCTTCCTCTTGGCCTTTTTCTTTTTTTTAAGATTGTTGTTTGGCTCTGGTTCACAGCCTCCTCTTAAAGACATTATTTCATCTGACAGCTTAGCTTCCAGTGAAACGAGGAAAGGGGAAGATGGCTGCGCAGCTCTCCCTGCATGTCAGACTTACAGTTGATTTTCTTGGCATTACTAAGAAATGGTGTGATCAGTGTCTTTTCCCTTCCCTCTCTTCCTCCTGTACTCCACACGATCCTAAGAAAATAGGGCTTTTTTCCCTGGGCCAGGGATTCTCAGATTGTGAACCAGTACGTCTCTAGAGGCAAAGGGATGGAGCTTCCTCAAGAGCGAATAAGTCTGAGCTCTGGAGGTCACAGTCGCTCCACTCTGTGGCATGAGTGCTGTCTTTGCCCTGTGCTTGTCTTCAGTGCTTTGTAGGACTGTGCAAGTTCTGTAGATGTGTGCATGGGGATATGTCCTGGGAATGCAGGTGCCTTTCTGATCTGCAGGAAATACAGTGGTGATATACCGAGGTGGTAGAATGGACTGCAGCACTTCAGATTACAGGTAGAGAATCGCTTTTTGGAATGCTCTCCTACATTTAGTAAAAACTTCCTGCCACTAGAAAAAAAGCACGGCAAGCAAATGGAAGAAGTTTAGAATCTTTATCCCTGCCGCGTTAGGTTTCTGTTTGCGTGTGTGTGTGTTTTTTTAAAGCAAAGGAATGTTCAGAGCTGTGCCCACCATTTTGCAGTCTGATCTGGAGTTCCCACAGCATTCTGCATGAGTGTGAACCAGGCCTTCGTGCCAGATGAAAAGTGATGGCGTCCTCATGGCTGCCACAAGGATGCCATTGCCATTTTACAGTCATTTTAAATCAGTGTGGTGGGCTGAAGCGCTCTTGTCCCCTTCTCAAGCCTTATCAAGTAGGAAAACAGTACCACACACACACACACACACAGGCATGCCTGCTTCAGCACTGGAAAAGGCATGATGGGGGACAAGCACACCACGCTGCTGGCCCAGTTAGGATTGGGCCTTTGTGGCATAATGGCATGCTGCTCCCCTAGGCTGAAGAGTTTGGGTGATGTCAAGAACAGCAGAGTGGGCGGTAGACCAGTCTAACACATGAAGCACAACCCCCAGGATGTTCTTCAAATGTCCTTGAAAACTGCCTACTGGATTGCTCCCTGTGTTAATTAAGGGCAGGGTCATATGTGCCCCCCACACACGCACATCAAAATGTCCCGGGTCATCCTGGAACATTTCCAGATTTCTGGTTGTGTGTGGGAGAAATTGCCATCTTGGTGACCCCCAGAAGGAAAATGCAGACAGACAGGCTGACAGAAGGACAGAAATGAGAGCAAGGGCCATTCAGGGTCTGTGATTAGAGCTCGTGCTCAAAAGAAAATTGAACTTAAATTGTTCGTTAGAATCTCCTAAATTCTGCATCTGGAAAAGTTGAAGCCTGAGACCTTTGTACAATGTTAGAAAGAGCCTTGTCCATGGCGCACTTTATGGCATGATTGAAAAAATGCACTTCTTGTCTCTCAGAAGCAGCATCCAAATGTTATGAGTTTTGCACAAAGCTGAACAAGTTGAGTTCCATAGTGCCAGCATCTGATCTCTAGTTACCTGGTTGAGGTATAACTGTGAGAAATGTTTTCCATTTGTGTGTTAAACATGCTTGCATGTAAATGTACCAAAGTTACTTATAGATGTTCTTAGTCGACCTGCCATATCAATGGCATTGATTGCAATTTGCCAGAAGATGACTGCCCCCAGCTTTCCCAAAGGTTTCTTATCTGATTGCCTGGAAGAGATTCTTCCTAACTCTCCATAGGTGACCAGGTGAATGGATATGTACGATATTCTGGTGCAAAGCCTAAGAGATGATGCTATGTGCTGTTGTATCTCAGAGCATGAGTTGTGCACCCTGCCTTGGCATGCATGAGCAACCCTCCAGCTCTGGTGCTCCTGGAGAATATGTTCTGCTGTGCTCTGTGCTGTGCCATTCCCTTTGTGTCCTCCCTTGCAGTGGTGTCAGGTGTTTTGCTCCCTGTCTTTGTTCCTAGCAAGAAGGAAAGCAAATAGAGACCATCAAGTGCGATGCGTTGTGCCTTGGTCTCCTTTGAAGTGCATCAGTCCATTTTTCTTTGGCTTGTCCAGAGATCTGCAACCAAACTTTGAGCCAAGTTGTTAGAAGTGGAAGGGTTTACTTTAGAAGGCTTTTGCAAGTGGAAACAGAATGCAGCTGGAAGAGCAGAAGCAGAGCTGGCACAAAGATGTGGCACGTAAGATGTAGCATGCCCCTTTCAGGCCTTCAGCCCTTAGGTGGGTTGCCCCACTAGTATTGCAGCAATTTTGATGGAGAGAAGGAAGAAGACCGGTTGAGGGTGAGGAGAAAAGTCAAACGTGGAAACCGTGGTAGAATAGACTTTAAGGGTAAAGTACGAGTCTGGAAATGTTGAAGACCATTGCTGACATCTGTCAGGGATGGCGATAGGATCTTGTCTTCTTTCCCTTTCAGGTACAAATCCCTCTCATTTACTTCATCCACCTGCAGTAAAACGGATAAAGGTGTTTCTTGGGGGAGGGAGTTATTTGCGGAGGAGGATGAATTATTTAACTGTTCGATGCAGAACAAAAACCTGTTTCTATGTCAGTCAAGAGAATTTGCTTTGGGCCGAGATGTTGTTTGTTGTTCGGATGCATGGGTGTATTATTCTTTTGTGGCCATGGTGGCATGGGAATCTCTCCAGGGAATGGCACTGCATAAGATTAATTAGTGGTGGAATTTAGAGGGAATGGGCTGGGGAAGTGTTTAATACATAGATCCAGGGTTCATGGTTTAGGGCTAAAAGTGAAAGCTGGGAAAACATGGGTGGGGAGTGAACGGTTGTGCAAAAAGGCTGAAGGGTTTGGAAGGAGGGGGAGGGTATGGGGGGGCTGGGATCCATTTGCTCGCTTAGCTTCAGAAGCAAGGACTGGGTGAGGGGAGGGGGACCGAGGTCCTGCAGCTCTTCTGGCACCAGGAAGTCTGTCTTGCACCACCCTTGCAAAGCCTACCAAGCCAGAAGACAGATAAGGGCTGGATGCATCCTGATACAGAGAGATCTGCTATCTCCTGCAAAAAATGTAGCTGTTCTTTCCCCAAAGCTGGGGTCAGCAATCTTTTCACAATTAAAGAGCCCATCTACTTCAAAATTCAGAGCTAGTGAGCGACAAAGAGCCAGCACAGGAATGCTCGTGCGCATAACTGAAAATATGCAGTGTACAAATATACATTCCTGATGTAATGTTTATGGCCTATAAAGTTTCTGCAGCCCAAACAATGGTTGTTGCCAGTTTTTGAATTAGGAAGTGGCGCACGTGAGGCTTCGTGATACACGGGAGCCACCTGCCCAGCAGAGTTCTAGCACACTGGTGTAAATCTGCACATGGTTCTCACTTGGATTTTATTTATTTATTTTCCGTATTTATCGTTCGTCTTTCTCACTGAGGCTGAAAGTGGATTGCACAGCAGACATTAATAACAGCCCATGCGAAGAGAGAGAGAGCTCGGTGTAGGTCGATATGATCAAAATGATGAGACGTCTAACAAACAGTGTTCTAGGGTACGAGGATCACTGAAATCTGAATGAGCATGGCATATTAGGCATGACATGGAGTACGGATATAATAAAGAAAATATTACATCAGGAGAAAACAATGAATTTACTGGCAACTCTTTACTTCTGTATTATTTTCCTCTCTGCCAAGGCCTTTAATCCCATGAAAATATTTTCATGCCGTTCCCTTCTCATACTGATTAATCTCTGCAAAGAACCTTAATTTAGAGATTTAATTTTTATAGAGCCATATTTAGTTTCAAACTGAGCTGTGTCTGGCTCTAGAGCCGTGCAGACCCGTGCTCTAAAGGAATTAAACCCTTACTAGGGAGGTTGTCACTTCTCCTTTCATGACTTCCAGAAAGCCTTAGGCATCATAAATTACAAAAAAAAAGTATCGCAATATTTTTGCAAATTGTTTGAATTCTTCTTTACACCATTTGTATTTAATGTTAACTAGGGGTTGGAAACAGTCTGCAAATCATGATTAAGAGAAAAATTCTGCCTAGCATTAATTGTGGTTAACAGTGGAGGGGTGTTATGTTCATAAGAACATAAGAGAACATAAGAGATGCCAATGTTGGATCAGGCCAAAGGCCCATCCAGTCCAACACTCTGTATCCCACAGTGGCCAGAAATACCAGTGCCATCAGGAGGTCCACCAGTGGGGCCAGGACATTAGAAGCCCTCCCACTGTTGACCCCCCCCCCCAAGCACCAAGATGACAGAGCATCACTTGCCCCAGAGTCCCTATCTATACCTTGTGGCTAATAGCCACTGATGGACCTCTGCTCCATATGCTTAGCTAATTCGCTTTTGAAGCCGTCCATGCTTGTAGCCGCCACCACTTCCTGTGGCAGTGAATTCCAAGTGTTAATCACTCTTTGGGTGAAGAAGAGTGATTAAGCGGAACACCTAGCTGGAAGAGAGCACGCCGTATTTTGATCCTTTAACCATGTGATGCTTCAGCTGTTTTTACATGTTACGTTTAAACTGAGATATGCACAAACATTGCTTCTTATGGGGTGGAGGAAACAAACTTCAACTCAGGCTGGCTCTTGCACACGCACACTCACATACACACACACACAACAACAAGAAGGACCCGGAGTTTACTTAAAATCAGGGGTCATTTGGTATGTTCGGGGCAGGAGGGAGGCATGGGCATGAGTTTAGCACAAGCCATGTGGGTACAACTTTACTGTGACAGCTGAATGCAGCTATGATCTCTGTAAGTTGATTGGTTAGCAGGGTAATTACATTGCTGACAGCAGAGTTAGCCTAAGAATGGCTTCACAGCAAAACAAACGTCAACAGAAGTTTTGGGGAGGCCTCTTAAAACATGATAGCGGATACATCAGGTGTATGTTTGCTAATTCTGAGTGTTTTCTGGTCTTCTGAATCCTTTTTTTTGTTCTGCCCTGTTTCACTTTATAACATATACCCCGCTGAAGAGTTTTAACCATTAAAGGGAAATCAAATACATTTCATGTGTTTTGCAGGAGCTTAAAATATAGTGCTTGCAAGTGTTAGCAAAGTAAGTCTTGCCAGAGACAAGCAGCTAGGTCAAGCCATTGTTCCTTGCGAGAACTCTGTGTCCCTGCAGTCTGCAAATCAGTTAGAGTAGGGTTTACACACAGTGACAGAACCAAAGATTTAAATCAGCTGTAATCTGTGGAAAGGCAAGGTTTTATTGAAATATTTTGTTTTGAAAATGATCGGACTGTCTGCAATTCTTATAATATCTCCACACAAACACCCCTTTTTAAATGCATTGTTGTGAGGGCATTGGGGTTTCTGAGCCAAGGGTTGGTGAAAGCCAAGGGAGGCACAGTATTTAGGGGTGGGCATCTGAGGCTGCAATCATGCGCAAGCTTATTTAGGGGTGTTTCATTGAAATCAGTGGAATTTACTTCCAATCAAACATGCGTAAGATGGCTGCGATCCAAATTTTTTACTTTAATGCTAGTTTGGTGTAGTGGTTAAGTGCACGGACTCTAATCTGGGAGAACCGGGTTTGATTCCCCACTCCTCCACTTGCACCTGGCTGGATGACCTTGGGCAAGCCGTAACTCTGGCACAGCTGTTCTTGAAAAAGAGCAGTTTCTGTCAAGAGCTCTCTGAGCCCCACCTACCTCCCAGGGTGTCTGTTGTGGGGAGGGGGAAGGGAAAGGAGCCGCTCTGAGACACCTTTGGGTAGTGAAGGGCGGGGTATAAATCCAATCTCCTCTTCTTCTTTCTTCTTCTTATTGTTTGCATGGATATAAACTCCATTCAGATCTGAAACTTACTTTGAATGACCATTTTTATAAAAATTGTCTTGTACAACTGTTAGATTTCAAAATGTATTTTGACATCTTTGGAAATGGGAATGTAATTCCAAAATGGTTGGCTCTGCGTTCACTGTATGAGATTGCAGTGGCAGCACAGGTTCTGTTTAAGCAGAAAATTAGCCAGCAGAGGGTGATCTGGGAAGAAGGCAGGCAGGGGCTCAGTTTTGCTCCCGCCCGCCCCCCGCCCCCGCCCCCGCTGGTTAATTGGATGGTGATGGAGGATGCCTGCTGGTATAATTGTGCCCTTCCCAGGGGGCTCCTTGATGTCTGACCTGCGGGAGAGAGCCAAGTCTGTTATTCGTTAACTTTCTCTTATATAGATGGCTGAAACTGGATGAATGCTTGGATGGAGAACTAGAAATAAATATTCTAGGGGTACAGCTCATGCTAGAGCATGTAGTGCTCACGCCCCATGTTTAAACTACTGGGATGATATCCTGGGAAGAACAAGGCAATCTTCTAGGAAGAACAGTTGCTGCTTAAAACCCACTGCAGATTTCTTTGATCTCACTATCTGAATGCAGTTTCGGTGTGTAAGTACCAGCTTGATCAAACCGCCGCTTAGATGTGATGTCGCTTGTGAGAAGGGTGGGATATAAATCGAAATAATAAATAAATGTCTGAATGAAAGCTGTACATAAGAATATGAGACCCTGCAGGATCAGACTAGAGATGTAAAATGTCCGGAAATTTTGAAGCTTGGAAAAATGGAAATTTTCAGAAAAATTGAAAAAATGCTACAATAGCACTTCTTTTTTCTTTTCCAGATTGAAAGTCATTCTGTTACTTTAGGAACCTAAAATATGACTATGGACATTTTTACTTGGCATGAAATTATCACAACTAGCATATTAAAAATATAGTGTATCCAAACAATTATTACAAACAGAATACCCACCCACATGCAAAAACAAAACTGAAACCTTTTCCTTTTCTTCTGACAATAGCACCTCCTAAAGGAAGAAATGCATCCTGTTCTTGCATTGGAGAGTTTCGTTTGTAACCTAGAACTTGCTTGTCCTCAGTGCACAGAAATTAGATCAATCTGATACCATACATATTTTAATAACATTTTTATTGATTTATATATATATATATATTTAACAACATGTATTACTTGTTAGTCGTATACAGTATCATTCAACAACATCTAATAAACAAGAAGAGAGAAGTTAACCATAAGCACAAAACTTATTAATAAAACACAAAATCTCTATATTTCTGAGGTAGTGCATATAATCGGGGTTGACAAGCAGTAATATATTCAAAAAACACAAACCATTTTTCCAAAAAATTAGAAATGATTCTTGAAAATATTTGAACACCTTGTCTTCAAATATTTTATTCATCATGTTAAAATAAAATGTTCCATCATCATTTTTTTTCTTTTTTCAATTTTTCGGGAAAAAACAAAAAAGGCTTCAGGAAAAAAACGGGCCCCCCGAATTTTCCCGGTTTTCCCCCAGGCCTTCACATCTCTAGATCAGATCAGTGGTCCATCTAGTCCAGCATCTTGTTTCACACAAAGGCCAACAAATTGCCCTGGAGGGCCAACCAGAAGAGTACAGGGACCAAGATCTTCCCCTGATGTTGCCTCCTAGCACTAGTATTCAGAGGTTTGCTGCCTCTGATTGTGGAGGTTCACCCTTGTCCACATGGCTGATGGACCTATTCTCCATGAATCTGTTTAATCCCTTTTTAAAGCCATTTGTGCTCATGGGCATCACTGTAGCCACTAGCAGTAAATTCCAAAATTCAATTGCTCATTGAGTAAAGAGGTACGTCCTTTTGTCCATCCTGTGCAACCAGCAGGTTTTTTTCCACTGGAACCAAACTAGGATTTCAAACTAGGATTTATAATTGTGGTGGATTGTGACATCAGAATGTGTTTATTTTACAAAATTTGTACCCCTCCATTCTCTTCTCATCAGGTCCACCATGGCAGCTGGCAGATTAAAACCATATATAATAAAAACATATATTTAAAATGAAATGAAAACACATCAAACAATTAAAACAAAGCTAAAATGCATATTGTTGTTGTTCAGTCGCACAGTCCAGTCCAACTCTCCGCGACCCCATGGACCAGATCACGCCAGGCCTTCCTGTCTTCCGTCGTCCTCTGAAGTTTGCTCAATTTCATGTTCGTTACATCTATGACACTGTCTAACCATCTCATCCTTTGCCATCCCCTTCTTCTTTGACCTTCAATCTTTCCCAGCATCAGGGTCTTCTCCAGTGAGTGCCCCCTTCTCATTTGGTGGCTTCAGTTTCATTATCTGGCCTTCCAGGGAACAGTCAGGGTTGATTTCTTTTAGGATTGACTGATTTGATCTTCTTGCAGTCCAAGGGACTCTCAAGAGTCTTGTCCAGCACCATAGTTCAAAAGAATCTATTCTTCGGCGCTCGGCCTTCCTTATAGTCCAGCTCTCGCAGCCATACATGACTACTGGGAATATGCTTTGACCATACGGACTTTTGTTGGCAGGGTGATGTCTATACTTTTTATCATGCTGTTTAGGTTTGCCATCGCTTTCCTCCCAAGGAGCAGGCGTCTTTTAATTTCATGGCTGCTGTCACAGTCTGCGGTGATCTGGGGTCCCAGGAATGTGAAGTCTGTCACTACAAAACATAAAAACAGCAATTGAAATACAGGGCAGGAAGGAGGGATCGCTGAGGGAATGATAGCCGAAACAGAAAACGTCTTCACCTACTGACAGAAGACAGGGACAGAAGGGGACAGTCAAGTATCTCTGGGGGAGAGAGCTCCAGAGTTTTGGTTCCACAACTGAGAAGGCCATTTTCCAGGTTGCCGTCCTCTTTGGGGAGCTAGGAGTGGCGGATGGTGGCAGACCTGAACTTGCCATACACAGTGTGTGAAACAGTTAAAAATACATATAATTTTTAGAGGAATAACTTGACTTGAACATTACAGTCATTGCTGGTTTTTTTCTCTCTCCCTCTCCCTCCAACTGGGGCTGTGTTTCCCTGCTAGTCACTGAAACCTGTGTTTTCAGCAGAGTTAGTTTAAGTTCTGGGCCTGCCTTTCCTTCTGCTGCCTGAAAGCTAACTTCATCTGCCTCTCTCATCCTTTTCCTCCCAAGAACCAGAAAGCCTAATACGGATCTGTATTCATTTTCTCGTTGCAGGAGTGGCTGCAAGGTGAAGAAATACGAAACACAGTCTCTGGTTCTAGATGTTTGCACTAAGGTAGGGACCACGCCTTACATTGTTATCCTCATGGAAGCAAGCTTAGATTGTGGGAAGGCCATGGCTGCGAATTAATTGTACATTCCAAAAGATGGGAATTCGTAGCTACATCCCTTTATTTGGATGGGCTAGACAGTCTGGAATCTGATCCAACATGCACTGGAGGAAAACAGAATTTTAAGATCCAGTGTCCTGATTTCCTCCCAAAGTTCATTCCATTTCCAGTCTTCTGATGAATATTGCCCCCTCCCAAGGCCTTCCCCAAATCTGGACTGATGTGCTCAGCCCTGTTTAAACTGCCTCCTGAATTGCACAGGATGACGAAGATGGAGCGCTCATATCCCATATTCCAGACCTTCCCAATCGGGATGGACGTGCCACCGATGAAGAAAAACTGGCTTCCACGTCCTCCATTCATAAGCCAGCTGAGTCAGAGGTGAAAGGTGAGCCCGAGGAAGACCTGGAGTACTTTGAGTGTTCCAATGTTCCTGTGTCTGCCATAAATCATACGTTTTCATCTTCAGAAGGTATGAGTACCATCTCTCTCTTCATTATACATATCTTTTGTCTAATGCCATAGATCATAGAGCATGTGGTTTTGGGAGGGCTATCAACCAGTTTATCAAATCAAAATCAACTCAATTTAATTAATTAATCACTTGCCTATTAAAAATAAAAGACTACGTAGATAGATGGATCTCCCACCATCATGGAACTCAAAGTTAATAATGTAGGATTGCTAAGTGGCCTCCCATCCAGGTACTATCCAGTACCATCCCTGCTTAGCTTCAGCAAGGTTGTTGTATCATGTCTTTTCCAACCTTTGGGAATCACTTAATTAACATCCAACTCTCTCTCAGTGGTCAGTAGTCATGGTAAATAAATGGTACCTCCAGGTTTTGAGGCAGGAAGAACACTAATTTCTGGAAGATGAGCAACAGGGAGAAGCTGTTGACTTCATGCACTTCTTGTGAGTTTCCCAGAAGCATCTGCTTGCCCATTATTGCGATCAGGATGGTGACCTACATGGACCTTTGGTGGTCTAACCCAGCGGGGTCCTCCTTATTGATTGACTGATTGATTGATTTCATTCTTATGTTGGAACATTGTTGGAACAGCTGGCTATTGTTAATATTTACTTTTTTCATGGCCCTGTTAACAGGAATGCTGCAGATCCAAAAACAAATTAACTGTGTGCCCAGAAGCTTGCATTCCATTGATTAAATTTGGCTTTCACAATGATCTACTAAAGTGGACTCGATCTACTAATTCAGTACATATCCAGCCTCCTTTTTTAAAAAACCAAGTAAGCTTTGATTAGTTGTGGGTGGCTATGCCCTGACTCAAATGCTCTGGATGTTTGCTGAATTTCTAATAGATTGGGTCCAGAATGTATCATGCCTTTAGGCCCTGTTTTGGTTTGAACCATGGCTTCAAGGTCTTTTAGCATAAGTGTACCACTTTCACTCCCCCATATCCATACTTTTTAGACTTTCCAAGATAAGGGGAGAAAGCACAGAGGGATTCTGGAGGCACTGTGCAGGGCTTCAGGCTCTGGATGCTGTGGTGTACGTTCACTGCAAAGTCGAGAGATGCTTAGGGTATTTGGAAATGTAGTTCTTACAATATGCAACATTTTGGGACATTGTAGGTAGAGTGCACTGTAGTGTCAGGGATGCTGAAGGCTATGGAAATTTCATATCCCAGGTTCCCAGCAGCCATGCAAGCTTACCCCAGGCTGCTGCGCCATCCAAGGCCTCAGTCTATGCTACATTGATCATCAAGGGGTCTCACTGCAATCCCACTTCACCCCAGGAAGGTGTCGGCGATGGAGAGGGCTTCTGGTAAATGTAGCATTATGGGTGGGGCAATTCTGAATCTGCTTTAGATAAGGCCTAGGGTTGCCAGGTCTCCTGCTATAGTGGGAGATCTCCCATCAACCCAGTATTTTCACTGCTGGCACCTGAAGTGCGAGAGGAATTGGGGGGGGGGGTGTAATTAGGCAATGTGTTGGTGTTGCTCTGGCATGTTGAGGTTACTTCTGGTGAGGACTCTAGGATTTGTAAATCTCTATGGTTTTACTATAGAAATTGTAATACTCGTCCCGTGTTGTCACTTCCAGTTACCACTGGAAGTGACATCAGCATACTGGTTAAATATGGTGTGCCAGTCCCCACCCCTTAAATTATCCCAAGAGTTACTGGATGTGGCCTGGCAATGCTAACTGGGCTGGACAGTCTGACTTGAAACTGACGGGAGGATGTGGGAGGAGGATTCTAAAATCCAGTGTTTTCTCCCTTCCCTTTCCTGAGCTCAGTCCCGTCACCTGTTTTGACATTACAGTGAACATCTTCACCTATTAGACTGGAACCCTTCAAACTGTTAGTTAGGAGTTCAGGAAGTGTGGTTTTGTTAATGCTTTAAGAAGTTAGATTATGCAATCAGTGAAAGAGTTCATGGTTAGCTTTTATAGTAAGCTCTTAGTGATGAAATCCTTGAAGGCATTTTCTTGGTACTTTCAAGTCTGTCTATTCTGGTACTGTTCCTGGCTGCATTTTGCACTCCTTTTCCCTGCATAATTTGCAGCTACTGTGTTTAAACATAATTAAAGCCCAAGCAACATTTAATCAGTGTCAGTGGCTTCCAGGTGCAGGCATCTAGAGCTGCCAGGCTGAATGTATATGGACATTACTTTCTTCTGCCTTAAATAATTTATCTTGAAGCACGTGAGAGAGCTGTAAAATGCCTGGGGTGGGGTGGAATCCTACAGGCTTATTTATCTCAGCAACTGACAATAAAGCAGGCAGTTAACTAAATCATGTTGGTTAGCTTGGGTTGATAAAAATTTAATGAAGTGGATTTTACATTTCGAAGGCAAACAAGACCTTTATTTATTTATTGTATTTATATCCTGCTTTTCAGACATATTGGTTCCCAGTGTGGTTTAGAAATGAAATCTGCCACATATTAAGATTATGTTTAGTTGTTGAGATGCAGTGTTCCTTTTTTAAAAATGTTGTTTTTGCAACAATAGACACCTGGCCTGTTGAGGCCTGTCAGAATGTTGAGATGTTGGTGCTGTGGTTGCTTGAGAGGATGATGAGGGAAGTGTCCCAGATGTTCGTCTTCTGCTCACATCTCCACCTTCCAGCTGATGGTGGCTTCTTATTACTAGGCCCTGTGGCCCAATGATATGAGCTTTCCTCATGCGGAAAAGACTGAACACCACAGAAGATATTTATCACGAAAGTCCCGGGAGCTGTTAAGATCTGGTGGCTCACTGAGAAGATAGAACCATCAGTTGGTAGAGATGATGGCAGGATGGGCATCTAAGATATTAGCCTGTTGGAAATGCCCCTCTGCTTAGCTACTTTCATCCCCAGAAAGGGAGGAAAGGCACGGGGTGGGGAGGGGGGAGTTCAGTTAAGGAAACACTGGAAGAAGAACTTAACCACCACCCCTGTTCCCAGGATTGTGTGAGTCACCCTGCAGCTCCTTTTTTAGAAGCAAATAATACCTCTGGAACTCCAGCTTCCCAGGGAGTCTGGCTGCAGGGCAGAGAAAGCCAAAGGGGGTAATAGAGCCTCTGGATGCTTTTCTCTGTCTATCTTACGTCTTTCTCTTTGCTTGATTTTCCATAGGGGATGGGAGTGAGAGAAGTGGGGATAGTTAACTGCTAAGGAAAGATGGTGACCATTAGAAATGCTTCTCTCCTGCCCTTCCCTAATCACCAACAGGTGTTCAGGGCCAGCATCTACATTGACTTAGAAAGAGTTCTGCATTTTGTTTTGTTTTATTGCATATTTTATAGCCCACTCTTGACCAATAAGGTAGACCTGAAGAAGATCACTAAATCAATTTCAAATGACATAAGTTAAATATGACATAAATTAAATCTAGACAACACTACACCGAGTGGGGAGAAAGGTTCTGCCCTCTCTCTTTCCTTGCTGTGCTGGGATGTTTCTACTTGGATGTTTTTGGCCACCTTGGCTTCCTTACTGCAGCATCCATAGGGTTTTGTCCTCTGTTTGGCCTGTTTCTGATCTGGTATGATCGTTTCTGGAAAGACTGTAACCAGAGCAACTTTGGCTGTTGTGTGAACAGGAAGAAATGCATTTTTGTAGGTCCCACCTATAATGGTGCCATTTTCTGTACCTCAGCCCTCGTGGCCACCTCCCCTTGCAGGGCTTTTGGGGGAGTTTAATTTTTTTAAAAATAACTAGATTGCGATAGCTCTATAATGTTGTAATGATCTATTGCAACAATGTACCAGTTCCGAGCTTCTGGAAGTGTCTAGCCCCTTTTGTTGCCTTGTTCAGCAGAAAGGTGAGAGTTGCACATTTTCCTTTATATCTCCATAGTGGAAAGGGCTAGTGAACTTACATTTTACATGGAACCTGGGAACTGGTACATCATTGCATAGATTGTTATAGCACTACAGGTATAGAGCCAGTGTTCCCTCTAAGCTGAGTTAGTGTGAGCTAGCTCACAGTTTTTTAGCCTCCGGCTCACACATATTTGTCTTCACTCAGGAAGGAGGGCTCCAGAGCAAACTAATTTACGCAGTAGCCAAATTGCTTGCTCACAACTTTAATTCTAGTAGCTTACAAAGTAGAATTTTTGCTCACAAGACTCCACAGCTTAGAGGGAGCACTGAGTATAGCTATTTCTCACTTTAAAAAAATGCAAACCCTACTCCAGAGGCAGAGTGGGGTATGGCAGCCACAGCTGGTTGAGGCAAGAGAAGTGCAAGGAACACTTTGTGTGAATGTTCCAGTGCTGTTGTCATTGCAACAAAAGCTGCGTGGAGAATTGTCTCTCTGTAGCAGCAGTCCAAGTTTGCCATTTTCAGGGAGTACTCCAAATGTGATCCTCCACTTGTAGCATGAAGTGGGTGCAGTCCATTCACCTCTTTCTTTTCTATGTGTGAGCCTAGCTCCAAACTGCTCCACTCAGTCTTCAGAAGATCAAGCATGAAAGCTTTCCCCATAAATACACTAGGGATATAACGTAGGAGAGATTTCTTGCGGGAAGGAGCTCACAAATGTGACAGTACAAGTATGTTAACCCCACCTCTTCCTCTGATAGATGCTAACGTTATTGGTGATGGACTTCTAGACCAGAGCCTCACTGTGGGTCTCAAAGGTTGTTGCTCAATGTTAGTCAGGGTCTAGCACTTGTTAGGTCTTTACATTAGGCTTTAGAGCCGAAATAGCTGATACATTTTGCCACAAACCCCAATACAACACTGATCCTCTCAAGTGCAGACACCAGCTGCTGGAAACTAAGTTCCCCCCATATACTGGGGCTTGATTCAGATTGGAATTGCGGTGTGAGGAAGGAATAGCTTCAGTCGCCCTCCCACTTTCCCTGATCTGAAATGGAACTTCAAGGCATTATTATGATGTTGCCCCACTGGAGGAATACATGTGCAGTATCAGAACCCCGGCCCAACTTGTGGTAAAACGTATTGTTGGCCTGTAAGGCTTATGCCACCACTTGAAGTAGCTTGGCTGAAGTTGCACAGGAGATCACAGCCCTCTTTTAGGTCATAAAGACAGCCAGTTCTGGATCAAAGACATGTGAGTTCGGGTTTTTCTGACATAGTTAGAACCTCCTTCTTCCCCTGTCTGTCAAACACCATTGGCAAAGGCTACATAGATTACAAGTTATCGCTTCTCAGCCTTTTGGCTAAGATCAAGTGTAGTGATTACAAGTTAGACCATGGTTAGTTTAAACCATATTGTGCAACAAACTGGCTAGCTTCCCAGAGGTAAGCAACAAATATGGGTTTGTGCATAACCCCTAGTTTGTTCTTTCCTCTCTCCCACCTGCCAGCTAGGGAGGTCCCCCTTCTTGTATTGCTGTCTTTGTGGGAAGGTGGCCCCTGGGGGCTACTCTGCAAAGCTGGTTTGTGAATTCAGATGTCATGACAAATCAGAATTAGTACAAACTGTGTTCTGCAAACTCTGGTTTGCTGGACCATCTGCATTCAGTACCTCACCACAAACTGAAGTTTGATCAAGCCGTGGTTCATAATTTGTGGTTTATTGTGTCATCTGCATACAGCTGAGGTATTTTGTGATCCAGAAAAGACTATATTTGGATTTCCATTCTCCTGGACTCTCCCTTCCCATGTTCTCATGGCCCACTTGTCATTTGCTGGAGGTGCCAAGGATTACCTCCAGGGTGCCATTCCAGCTGCGAGCTTGAGGAACATTAATTACCACAGTGGAGCAAAGCACTAAGGACTGACTCGGTTTGGTGTCCCTACTCTTGGCACAAGGATATCAGCTGCAACAGCTGGCGTATTGGGGAGAAGACTTTTAGCTTGCAGGTTAACATTCCACATGCAGGGAGGTTTATTTATTTCCAGTAAATGTGGAGGAGCATGTCCCCTTACCACTGCTTGTTCCTTGTGCTCTATTTGACAAAATCTGTTTCAAATATCCATTTGTTTTGCCTCTGTAGCATTGTTACTTTCCAACTATGTTCCAGAGAACCCCAGAGCATGTCAGAACTTTATCAGGGATTCATTTGTGATAAGATGGCCAGCAAGCTTTCTTGTTAGGCACCACGACAACTTCCCCCCAGTAATGCATAGGCTGTGTTCCAGGGCATCCTGTCAGATCATGTAGTGTGTGTGAGGCGGAACAGGTCAATCTAGTATCGCATGTGAACGGAACTGAGCATCGTAGAGTACCCTTCTGCAAGTGTGCGAATTCTCAATACCATGGATGTTCCCTTTGCATAAATGGCTGCCTAACATTTTGTAAATCACTGTTTTAGCGGGCAGTACAGGATTCAGGAACCTCCGTGGCTGAGTAAAGAGACACTGCAAAGGAATGTTCCCTGTCTCTGGTTTACAGCTGGAGATGGTATTTATTTGCCCAGCAGATAAGAATAGAAGGGGACATATGTGAAATTTGCATTTGGCTTGTGGGCCTGGCTGGTCAGATACGCACATTCTTGTCATTCTGAGGGAAGAAACAGCTGTTCTTGACCACCTCATGAAAATACCAGCAGGGTGTTATGTCCCATTCCATTGAGTTGCCGCCTCAAAAGGTGGGGTGGGACAACAGCTGTTTCTCCTAAAAAGCAGTAAAAGGGAGGGGGAGAACAGGGCAACCAAAAAAAAAAATAGAAGGACCTTTATTTGGGAGTTGTTTATTTTCTGCATGTGGGGAATCTAGTATGAGACATTTGGTGTCTGAGGCAGAAAATCCAAGCATTGTCTCCACTAGGAAACTTTTTCTATTCAGGCCTCTCTGAGCTGAATGAGAGTAGCACCAGAGTAACGGGGCTTGCATGAGGGAATGGTCCCTCCTTTTTTGAAGGAGATGAGAGCAGTATACTGTGTGCAGAAGGGGTATCACAACAACCTGATGGTTTAGGCTAGATTAAACCAAGGTTACCCAGTGAGTTTTGTGGTTAAGTGGAATTCGAATCCAAATCTTCTTAGCCCAGTTCTTTGTTACACTACACCACGCTGGTTCTTTCATCTTCAGTCTTTTGTGCAGGCACACATTAGGGAACTACGCTTGCGCAGGCCAGCCACCAGAGACTCTCTTACAGCTACTCTGGTATTTTTAACACTCCAAGGGGAGCTCCTCCCCTGCAGAGCTCCTTAGAGGCCATCTTCCCACCTAACGGTCACGTGCTCTGCAGGGAGGAGCCCCCCTTTCCCCTCAGTCCTTTCTTTGCTGCCACGTTGTGAGGACGTGTTCTCTTCAGCTCTGGTTGTCATGAGTTTTTCAATGTTTCCTTTGCTTCCTTGCATGCCCCTCTTTGGGAAATGTTGCAGAAGACTTTGTTTAAAAAATGTACCCAGTGCGGTACAAAAATTACCTGTTCGGATGGACACCTTCTCTGCTTTTTCTACTTGGGTGAGGCCCATAATACAACCACATGCAAGATTTGCCTCCAATTTACCTCGAAAGCCCACTCAGATCAAGCAGCGCACTTGAAGACAGGTTTGTGGGAGAAAGCGCTCTCTTGCTGTAATAGCCCAGCAGTGAAAACATCTGCCTCGGCAGAGCCCAGTCAATCCTTGCCTTCGAGATCACTGGTTAGAACCGAACAACTTGTGAGCCCACTATTGAGCATTTCGGTGCCATCAGTTCTGGGGACAGAACTGAAGCATCGGGTCCCATCACCTGCCCATTCGGATGAACGCTGTATGTTAAAACCCCCACATAAGAAAACCAGTTCCAAATCCAAACATAAGGAGAAGCATCGTTCCATAATGCTGATATTAGAATGAAGGTATATCCTGTGAAGCTAATGGGTGGTTCATTAGGACACATTTGAAAAAAGGACTTTGAGCCATTCATAATTCCATGCACACATTTTCATATCATCCAAAGCTTCTACAAATGCCATACTTTGTATGAATCAGCCATCAGATGTTCATTGCAGAATGCTGAACAATGAATGTATATGTATAAGTCATATTGAACCAATGCCAACAATGCAGCAAAATGCCGGGGGTGGGGGGAGGAATTCTTTCAGCAAATCACAGTCTCTGACAACCGACAACACTAGGGCTGAACTACACAATACTTTTTGTAACAAGTTGGGTCCACAGCCATAGAACTGCTTCAGGGAAGGTGGTTGTTAAATTCTGCAGGGGCCCAATTTGGCTCAAGACCACAGCATGGGGAAAGGAGATGTTTTTGCCTCCCTGTTCTATTTTCCTGAGCAAAAACTGCTAGGGGAGGGAGTTATTTGCATAACTTTAGAGCTGCACGTGCACCACAAACCCAAACAGTTGATAAAGGTATTATATTGTTTGGCCCCAAGTATGCAGAGAGTAGGAGAGGCCTGGAACTGAAAGCAGATTGATTGTTGTTGATTGATTGTTCCAGTGAATTCCTTGCTAAGATAAGGGTGTATAACCCACTTGTGTTCATTCGCTTCAGGTTTTAATAAGGAATCCTCCTGCAACCCGACAGAGAGCAGTGGTCTCAGCAATATATTGGTAAGTGTGATAGCCAGTCTCTCCTCCTTTGGAAATACAAAGCAGTTCCATCTCTGTAGGCCTTTAAAAGCTCTTCAGGCCCAAGTAGATCACTGTGTTGTTGTTTTTTGCTGTCAGGTCACAGCTGACTTATGGCGGCGACCCTGCAGGGTTTTCAAGGCACGAGACAGTCAAAGGTGGTTTGCCATCCCCTGCCTCTGGGCAGAGACCCTGGATTTGCTCTGTGGTCTCCCATCAAAATACTAACTCGAGCCAACCCTGCTTATCTTCCAAGATATGATGAGATTGGCTTGCCGGGGCTACCCAGGTCAGGGCAGACCACATCTTACAGCTCTGCAAAGTCAAGGCCTCAAGAATCTTCATTTTAAAAACATGTTGATTATGGATGACATGATTTCTTTTACTTTGAATAATCTAGTTTGCCTCTACTAGCTGCAGAGTGGGTCAAGGAGATGCTGTTGTCCTCAGAATAGCATCTCACCAGGCATTGCCTTTTCAGGTATATTTTTGCAGGTGTCAGGGTAAGAAATTTGCTTGTTTCAAACAATGAAAACTGACACTCTTAGTAGGCTGAATTTTGTGTTCATTTGAGGCTGTTTTCTGTGTTTCCTGGGAGTTTCAGAATTCATGACCTCTGTGAATAGAATAGACTGCACTAGAAGGGCTACCCTGCTCCCACTGCTCCAAAAAAATCATTTGCCAGCAGAGTGCCATTTGTCTAACCTTCCTGAGCAGAAGACTGACATTCCATCTGATAACCATAGTGCCCACCTCCAAATTGCTAACCTTGTAGAGGAAAGCTTGCTAAACAGTCCTGCCCTTTTCCCATAAGAGCATATCCTTCAGGTTGATTTGTGTGAAGCTTGGTTATTTTTTTGAACACTGGCCCTTTGCCGGGCAGCGTAACCTGGTTTGCAGGAGGGAGTGAAGACAAAATGAGAGAACTTCAGGAACACTGCACTGAACTGCTTGAAGGAAAGGCAGAATATGAATATGATTTACTTTTAAAAAATAATTTGCAGAAACAGCAGAGAACAGGAAATCTTATTCTCAGAGAGTTCTGTTACATTAGGTGATGGCTTCAGAACACTGCCTCAGTTTCTGGTCTGTGGGTTCCTGCTTTGCACAGTGAAACTACAGCCTCAAACCTGCGCCCTCTGCTGGCGGCTGTGTAGAGAAGGACTTTGCAGAAGCACTCTTTTGTGCCATAATAAATGTGGCTGCTTGCAAGGACTGGGCAAAAAGTGTGTGACTGCTGAATGGAATAAAATCATTTTAATTAATTCTGAGATCAAATGGGCCTGGCGGGTAAATTTTTATTCAAAATTAGACGATAAAAAGTTGCATTATTTGCTTGTGAGACAACAAACTGTTCATAAATAGCTCTGTTTATATGAGTTTTAAAAAATACTGTTCTGTTCTGTTCTGCAAGTAATGTGTTGCCTGTTGGGCTTATTAGTGATGGCATTCTCTCTCACACACACATACATGTACAAATTGCATTTTTTACTGATTGTTGTAAACCTCCTTGGTAACATACACTGAAAAATAGGAATGTTTCAAATAAAGATTGAGGGGCATCTGACCTAGCTGTTTCCCATCCAGCAAAAGCTGTATCTTTGAATTTGGTAACACACAGGCCTACAGCTTTGCTTTCTTGTGTCTCTATATTTCTGGTTATGGCAAAAAATTGCCAAATTTTCATGTTGCGTCTGTTCGTAGGCTCAAAAACCTAAACAGAGTCTTTCATGGGTAGTTTTGTTGCTTGGAGTGGGTGTTGGAAGTTGGAGATGCGTATCAGTTTGTTTTGAATCCCTCGGCTTTGCGTATTTTGGTCTTTCCCCTACTTTATGTCATATTCCAAATCTGCAAAACAAACAAACAAAAGCCCAACAACACCTAGCTGATAGCTACCTATTCACTAGTGGATTTAAGTTTCTCCAGAGACAAATTTGGAAAACTGTTATTACCAAAACTCTTTGATCCTGTTGTTTTTGGGCCTCGGAGTGAATGCAGCTGGCTGCTAGGAACCACCCAGTTCAAGGTGGATGTCTGTATTCCTGACCAATCATTCTTTCTGCAGGGCAATTCTGAACTGTGTTCTGTGGAGAAGGCCTCTGGAGTTCCACCATCGGGCATGAGGGGGAGTGCTGAAAGCCCCCTGGACGCCATTTGCCTCAATGAGTCAGATAAGATGGCAGTCCTAACTCTGATCAGAGAGGAGGTGAGAAACAGGCTGACTCAACTGTGTGCTAACTGTGGGTATGCACCTTCGGAGCTAAGAGGTGTGGGTTTTATTTAAAAATAAAGGGGAAAGGATAGCATAGAAAATGATGAGGGAAGAAGGGCGGGGCAGGGAGTGGGTTACAGCAGAACCATGCCTTGGAGCGAGAAGGATTGCTATAGGTCTGGTAGCGGAGGGCTGCCTCCGATAAGTCACACCACTGAAGGAGGCCACAGGACAGAGGGGGAGGTTGATTTGAGAGGGCCACCCTCTGTAGTCACAGTGGAATGAACAGGAGTAGGTCGGCCCACCATCAACTTGGACTTGGAGTCAAGGGATAGGGGGAGAGTCTGCCTGGGGAAGAAAAGAAAAGATGCTGGATGATTCCTGGGAGGAATTTCCCCCCCTCTTCTTTCTTTGTTTAAACATGTTGGTTCATTCGAAATATGTTTTTCCTGTTGGGATTTTGCTTTTTAATGGTAAACTAATCTGAGCCTTTGTGATCGTGCAGAATAATAATATAAGTAAATAAAATAAAGCCTTCACCAGGTGCTGTGTGCTCCATTTACTGCCTTAGAGCTTAAGTGGACGTGCTCAAAAGCTCCACTGAACTGAATGGGGCCTACTCCTAAATAAGCATGCACAGGACCTGCATTATTCAAAGGGACATATTACAGCAGGGCATCTGTGGAAACAGGTACAGCAAAGATTGTGGAAATTTAAAGAGGGAGGTTGTTAAACTCTTTTCCCCCCACACTGTTTTTCATCAAACGCTCCCCTAGAGCTGTTATTTTTCCTGTTACACAGACAGTTTTTATATTACCTGGGTTTCCATTGGTGGGGCAAACTGGAACTCTTGGGAGATGTTTGAGATCAGGAAAACTGTATGGGAAGAAATGGTTGACACACACACCCCCCGCACAGCAGCCCCCTCCAAATCCACCCCACTCTGGCTGCCAATTTAAAATGGTTCTGAGATTCCAATTTGCCAGCATTTTCTCGCGTTTGGCTCTCAGCTGCTGTTTTTCTTAAGAAGCTTGAAGAAGGGAGGAGCTGGGGGGAGAGTAGCCGCCAAGAATGACAACAAAAGAAGAAGAGTTGTTTTTATACCCCGCTTTTCTCTACCCTAAGGAGTCTCAGAGCGGCTTACAGTCGCCTCCCCTTCCTCTCCCCACAACAGGCACCTTGTGAGGTAGGTGGGGCTGGGAGAGTTCTGAGAGAACTGTGACTGGCCCAAGGTCACCCAGCAGGCTTCATGTGGAGGAGTGGGGAATCAAACCTAGTTCTCCAGGTTAGAGTCTGCCGCTCTTAACCACTACACACGACCATACATGGTAGCTGCCCTTCCTTCACTGTGATTGTGTGTATCTGAGCCTTCAGACTGGTCAGCAAGCGGCATTCTCACATCCTGGAGTGTAGCCAGGCTCTCACATTTTGCAACAGGATCGCATGTAGGCAGGAATCTGCAGGCACAGCAAGCAGACAGGGAAGGAGTTAGGTAAATCTACATGGGTTCAGTCAGGGGGACAGTGTGCACTCAGGCATGGAGGTAGGAAATATTGGCCCCTCCAGATGGCAGGCAAAATGTATCTCTGCATTGGCCGGGCCTGGAGCCTGGCCTTCTGCGTTTTTTCTGGCCAGTGAAGTAGCACTTTCAGCCTGCTCTTGCTCTGTCTCAAGCCCCCCTATCTAGCAACTGACAACTAGAATGTAGTGTCATCCACTCAGTTGCAGACAGTGAGCACACTGATAACAATGGGGTCTGGTTCCATTGGTGCATCACCCCCAGCTCTTAACTTTGAGAGCTAGTGCAGGATAGTGCTTAGAGTGTTGGACAGACTAGGATCTGGGGGACCCAGGTTCAAATCCCAGTCCTGCCTCAAAGCTTTCTGGGCCAGCCACTCCTTCACAGGGTTGTTATGAGGAAAAAATGGAGGAGAGCCATGTATGTAGTAAAGAAAATATACTAAATAGCTTTGTGACTGTGGCATGGGGCTTAATGACTTCTGGCAGTTAGATGAGCATCCTGTTTTCAAAGAAAGAGTCACCATGGCCACTGAAAGTGGCAAGTAGAGCTTGTGGGTCTATACTAGACAACCCTAAATATGCTTTGCTCCCCACAAATGTTGCTTTAAATAATAATAATAATAATCTTTCAATTTATTAATCGCTCAATCCTGCAGAGCTTGCTGGCTCTGAGCGATTTACAGTTACTCATTCACGCGGGACTAACAATGATTTATGTGAGTAAGGGAGGACAACATATATCTTTTAAATCACACACATTCACATTCGGCGAGGGTTTGTTCAGCTGCAGGGTCAGACGTGTTCCGTCGGCATATTCACTTCGGCTTGGCTAGATGACATCAGCTTCTCCAGGTCTTGCAGCGCCGCACTGCCGGAACGGCCCATTACAGGCTTCTCAGAGTCGAAGAGATTTTTTCTTAGGCTTTCAATCTTGCGAGCTGAGCATTCCGGTCACCAGCTAACACCTCCCCCACCAGGTTTTTGTTGTGCCCACCCTCTCTAAGGAGTGGTATCGATTTTATCTACTCACCAAAGCTTTCGAACCGCTGGGTGGACGGCGAGCTAGGGACAAGGCTGGTAGCTCACACCAACACAGGGCTAGAACTGACAGCCATACTATTCAGCTCAGATGTTACTACTCCAGCTATATGTAAATGTTGCTTTTCTCTTTTTTTGCAGAGGCAGGGGGAGGGGAAGAGAAGGACTGTGATGGGTGCAGCTAAAATATGTGGCTTTGTTTCCGTTCCTTCTAGATCATCTCTAAAGAGATTGAAGCAAATGAATGGAAGCGGAAGTATGAAGAAAGCCGGCAAGAGGTTTTGGAAATGAGGTAAAAACAACCCCAAACACCTTGAGCGTTTCCTCCAAATGTGTAATAGTGTGAAGAACGGGTTCTAGGAATTTTGATAAAGGCTGTGCAGCAGCTCAGCTGTACGTTGTAGAAAGCGGAATTGAATGTTGCTGAGATGCTGCAGTCGGGCCCCCACCCTTGTTGACTTCAAAAGTTTTTATCATATTCTGCTCTTGTTATTAGGACTCACAATGGAACCACTGTGGTACAGTGGTTGGACTAGGGTCTGGTTCAAATGCCTACTCTGCCGTAGAAGGCCCATAGGACATGGTACATGCCTTGAATGCAGAAGGTTCCATGTCTGAAGCCTGGCATCTCTCCAGCTAAAAGATCTTGGGTGGAGCTCAGTGTGGTGCGACAAGAGAACACAGAGTTTGGCTGTAGTGTAGTGTGTGGTCTAATGGAGAAGAGTCTACACACACAACCACAATTTTATTATTGCAGTAATTGAGAAATAATGAACAAGAATGCAACTAACATACACCAGCTTCCTTGTCTGGAAGCCAGACAGTTGAATAGGCCTTGAGAGTGCCATAGGTATGCATGTAACCATCCTGAAGCAACTTAAGCTCTCTGGAAACGAGGAAGTTCAGGAGTGGCTCTGGTCTGAGTGCAGCAGGCCTTTCTCGAGGAAGTGGGTTGGAAGGAAGTTGCTGGAAAAGGAAGGACATGAGAAGCACCAGAGATTTCCGTTCGGTATAGAAAGAAGTAAACATTCTGACCCTGGCATGTTCCCCCTCCCCCCTCTGTTTTCTATAGGAAGATAGTGGCTGAATACGAGAAGACCATCGCTCAGATGATAGGTAAGCAGTTGCCAAGTGCCGGAGACTTGCTTGAGAACAGGTGTTTGAGAATAGATATGGGTGGAAGATCAGCAAGCTTCACTGCAAAATAAATTTGGTAATCCAACCCACAATGTGCAGAGAGCATAAAGTAATGTGCAGTTGTGTTGGTCTGCTTGAGCTGCATTATGGTATGCCTGTTCTCTGTTTGTAATACACAGTGGCCTCTGTTATGCAGTGGTTCACAGCAGTGCATCAGGGTGTGGGAATGATGGATGGTGTTGTCTTCCAGTGGTTGGTTAGACAGTCCTTTTAACCCCATTCCAATTCTGTGCTTTTTTTAAAAAAAAAAAGTTTCAAGCTGGAAAGGTAAAACACTACCGGACCTGTTACTCTGGCACAAAACATTATGGAACCTTTATATCATGGCCAAAATCACTGACAACTTATCGTAACTTACCTCCCAAACATCTTTATCTAACTTTGTGGCAATTTGGTTCCCTATAATGGAATATCTGACAAAACAAGCTGATATTCCTGATGTAATTGCTGTTCTATGTCTGTGGTAATTTTGAACGATCTTTCGGTACTTTTAATATCCACATTAAAATGGAGACAAGGAAAACAGGGTAAACATGGTTTACTCACTACTTCTTGTATGTATCTAGATTAGCCTTGATGTATTTTGGTTAACTTATTGATTATTGATGTATCTTTGTTATTGTACTATATTGCACTGTCTCATCTTGTTATGTTTACTGTGAGAAAATGCAATAAACTATTACTAATATTTCTTTTAAAACTTAGGCCTTACTAGGAGATGTGTAAAAAAAAAAATGCAAGTGAGCTGAGTTGCACGTTACTAGGTTTCCAGGCAGCGGCATGGATCACATCCTGTCTGTACTGATATATTTTGGAGTGGGTTCCGTGTATGCCTCACATGCATGCGTACCAAAATTGCTTAGGATTTGGTACAGGGTGCAGAATGTAGGTAACATCTGGTGAAGTTGCAGACTCCAGAAAAGCTTGTTGTGGAGGGCCAAATAATGCAGTGCTCTCCCTCAGCTCCAAGTTGGTTTAATGTTTCCGCTGCTTTTGAATTCACAGAAGATGAACAGAGGACAAACATGGCATCCCAGAAGAGTCTTCAGCAACTCACGATGGAGAAGGAACAGGCATTGTCTGACCTGAATTCAGTGGAGAGGTCCCTATCCGACCTGTTCAGGAGATATGAGAACCTGAAGGGTGTCCTGGAAGGATTCAAGAAGGTCCTTTATCAAAGAAACTCTTTCTCCTCTATCCTCGTTACCTTGTTGTTCAGGAGCCCTGCTCTGCATTTGTATCTGTAGCTACAAAAGCTGCAGTGTCCACATGCCACCTCCACATGCCACAAATATCATCATCACCTCCAATTAAAGGCCCTCGGGCCCTGACTGAGATGCGATCCCTGTGTGACTTTATATGGGCTCATTGTCTCTTTTAAATTGTGTGCCTGCTCCCAGAAGGGTGCTGTGCACCCTTAGCGCACCAGCACAATATGCTCTAGGACTGTGGATCTCCGACAGACAAGCTAAAGACACATACGCACTTTGCATGGATTGTAGCACACTTTCAATGAAACACCAAGCCTCTGCAAAATCACATGGTGGTGGAATGCTTTTGCCTCACCCAATATCATGTTTAAATCAGGCCCTAGGTGTACTTTATATATTCAGGTAGCAATGGCTGGAAAAGACCTCTCCATGTGGCCCTGGAGAACCCTTGCTGAACAGCATAGACAACACTGAGCCCAGTGTGCCAACAGTGACTCAGTACCAGGCAGTATCATAGCTCCATATGTGCAGAAATGTGCCCACGTCTTCTCAAACAGTTCTCTTGCCCCTGCATAATGGTAAATATCAGCAAGACGGAGCCATGGAAACCTGTGTCTGCAAGGCTTTTTGTGTAAACGAGAACCAGATGCTTCGTGATCAAGAGGGTGTCCCACCTCTATTTATATGTAGGGTGTGAAGTGCAGTTCTGTCCCATTACAGTTCTGTCCCATTACATTCTGTCCTGTTTTTCACATGCCATTAATTGCCATGCTTGTTTCCTTTTCATTGACATTCAATGCAAATCTTCTGCAAACTTCTGACCCCCCCAGAATGAAGAAGCCTTGAAAAAATGTGCTCAGGACTACCTGACTCGGGTCAAGCAGGAGGAGCAGCGCTATCAAGCCTTGAAAATCCATGCCGAAGAGAAGTTAGACAAGTAAGAAAGCTGGGCATTTAGGAGATTAAATGGGGTGTTGGTGTTTCTCCAGTCAGACTCACAAATGTAAGACCAGGGTTGTCCTACTTGTAACTTTTTGAGAAATCCAGACTCTAAATGCTGTCAAATAATGCTCCAGGAGGCTAAAAATCCTAGAACAGTGCACAATAGAAAGAAGGGGCTATTACCCATGGCATTCATGCAGCTGAAACACTGTCATTATTTATCGCCCCAATAGACCCCAGCAAAGGGGGATTTGCACCTTAGCACAGAGAACTCATTTTGCTGGGATAGGGAGAATGGGCCCTTGCATAAGCCTTCCATGCAGAAGTCCTCTGGTTCAGTTAGAGGTGTCTCTAGTTGAAGCACCTGGGTTAGCAGGTATTGGGAAAGACTGTTCTGTCTGAGGCCTTGGAAGCTGCTGTCAGTCTTAGTAGTCAGCACTGAGCAAGGCCAGCTTCATTTCTTTGTGTCTTTTCCCACCTTTAATGCAGAGCCAATGAAGAAATTGCTCAAGTGCGTGCCAAGGCTAAAGGGGAGAGTGCAGCTTTACATGCTGGGCTCCGAAAAGAACAAATGAAGGTGGATTCCCTGGAGAGAGCCCTGCAGCAGAAGGTGAAGCCCCTTCCCCATTTCTGCTGGAGAAAATAAATCATTGGGTCGGATCTCAGAGGAAATGTTTTACTTGGAAAGCAAGGTGTAAACTCCGCCCACTCCCTTTTCCTGCTGCAGACTCCCGATTTCCCCTTCATCCCATTCCTGAGGGTCCCCTGTTGACCATGAACAGTACTTTGGGGAGATCGGTGGGATGCAGTGGGAGAGAGGGAGTCAATAAAATTCCGTTCCACCAATGGAAATGCCTCCTAGTAGTGGAAGATTTAGTCTGGATCCAACCCGATATCTGAACACACCCTGTGTACTTTACATATTCAGTTGGGGGCTTTTCAGTTAGGAAAAAGACAGGGGGGACATGATAGAAGTTTATAAAATTATACATGGGATGGAGCAAGTGGATAGAGAGAGCTTTCTTTCCCATAATACTAGAATTTGGGGAGGGGGGCACCCAATGAAGTTGATGGGCAAAAGGAAGGACTTCTTTGCTCAACAAGTAATCAAAATGTGGGATTCGTTGCCAGACAATATAGCCATTGCCATGAGCATAGATGGTTTTAAAGGGGGTCAGACAGACTCATGGAGTATAGCAACTGATAGCCAGAGGAAGTAAGCTTCTAAATACCAGTACTAGGAAGTGGCGTCAGGAGAAGGCCTTGGCTTCTGTGCCCTCTTTGTTGGCCCTCAAGCGCAACTGATTGGTTACTGTGTGAAACAGGATACTGGATTAGATGGACCAGTGGTCTGATCCATCAGGGCTCTCCTTATGTTCAGTATATTTGTCTGTCCTGAAAAGGATGATTTTGACTTGAAATGTGCCAGTGATTTTCCAGAGCATCCTGACTGACAGCCCATTCAAATGTTGAAGGAGGGGATGTGGTACAGTTGCTTGAGGACTGTACCATCTCAATATGCAGAGGGTTTTTTGGAATGTTTTTAGCCTGACTTTCTCTGTGATACGCTGGCTTTTTGTGCATAAGGAGAGTCTGACATTGGGATCATATTTAAATGTTCTATACCCCCATGTGAATATTTTTGACCATCCCACCTGAGAGTCCAAAAAAATGCTTAAACTCTCCCTGGCTAAACTGGACGAACCCCCCCCAAATCAAAACCAAACTGTGCTTCTCTTAGGTTATGTCATCCATTTTCAAAATGGGCCTTGAACTACCAAATATATCAATAGTTTTTCAGTATTTCTTACAGAACTAGTTTCTTAACTTCTTAAATACTGAATCTGCATGGCAGGACAAAACTGCAGTGAGGTTATTGTGCATAGATTACATTTTTTTTTCCAGTTAAGAGACCCCGTTGATTATAGATTCCTTATTTGAACTTGCAAATTCCAAATTTGGTTTTTACTGCTCAGAACCTGATGTACTGATACAAACCACATGCTTAGGTGGAGTGATTTCATGAAGCAGATTAAGCAGCTCCATATTACCTTCCTGCAATTTCTTTTTCTAACCTAGAACCAGGAGATTGAAGAGCTGACCAAGATCTGTGATGAGCTGATTGCCAAGCTAGGAAAGACCGACTGATCTATACTCCGTTGTCTAGAGCCCCATGCTTGGACTGCTTCCTGTCTGTCTGTCTGTCTGCATCTTCAAGCAAAGCACTTTGTCTTATTTCCAGAAATAATCTCCCCCTGCAGCAGAGAGAAAAAGCACACACCTAGCTTCCAGACTGAGCAATTGCCATCTGCAGGATCCAGAGGCCTGGCCTGTGTTCACTTCCAGCATTCTGCTGACTTAAATGTCCCTGGCTAAATTTCTGCTGTTGACTTTTAGGTGGCAGCCCTGTTTCCTTGTATATGTCTGACTGGTATAAGCAAGGCATGCATTAGAGATGTGTTATTTGCTACTATGTGTTGAAAACAGGCACTCAGGGTACGGTAGGGATCCAGCCCACAGAAAGTGCTGGGTTGCTGCCTCAAGAACAGTTGCATGGCAAAAGAAGCATCACTGATGATGCCATTTTGGTTGAGGGGAACAGACCAGTATCAGGTGCAGCTTAACCTGAGTATGTGTTGTATTGTTTGTTGCTGGAAATGTAGTGTGGCAAAATGAAGAATCTGTATCTGAGAAACAAGGCCAGCTCAAATGCAATAGTTTCAGTACACAGGATGAAACTCAGATTGGTTTCCATAGATGGCTCACGTGTGGGATCCAAGTTAAAGTTCATTAGCTCCTGGGAGGATAAATCTTTGGGGGGTCATGTCCAAGCAACCAGGAAAAGAAGTCCCTGACTCCATGCTAGTTCACGTCGGTGCTGTGGCATGAGAAATGAGACCTGCCAAAAAGAGCACAAATTTCCCAGAATGCAGCTTGAATGCAAGGCCTTTCAAGGTAGAGAGCAGACATTAGAGGTTCAGACTTGTGCAATGAAAATTTCTCTCCTTGGTTAAGTCAAGGATTCCAAGATGTACCATCATCTCTTTGGAAAGGGGCAAAAGACTGGAAACCAGGCTTCTGTTTACCGATATCTGCCATCCTCAAAAGCACCTTTTCTTCAGTGTTCCCACAGAACCTAAAATACTGTCAAACCTAAAACATATTACAAAAAACCCAGCCCCCAAAATGGGACAAGTAGATGGATGTCTAATTCCTTGGGGAATTTGTGCTGCTGTTGGAATTGTATAAAGTGAAGTTGAGGACTTCTAAGATGTACTTGTCAGCCCACAGAGGGGCGTCAATTAGACTCTTGTCTTTCTGAACTTATCCTAGAGTTTGTTTGTGCCCCTTTAGTTGGTCTGGTGCAGAATTGTGGAAGCACTTTGAATACACCTTCAAGGAGATCTGTTGCTGTCTGTTTTTGTGCCATGCTTGTATTGAAGTCTCATGTGGCTCAACTGTAGTCAGATTTCTTTCTTTTAACTTGGGATGCCTCCCTGCCTTGCACAGACATGGCTTGTCTTGGTTGGGTGGGGTCTGCATACACTGAGCATAGCAAAACTGACGTTTCAAAGCCATGGACTGTGGTACCTGTTGATGGGTGTTTGCTGAGTCATCCATCTTCTGTGATTCTACTGGTGCCTAAATTCACACGCAATCGTCTTTACAATTTAGGTTCCAGAGAATTTCAGCCAGGCATAATGGAGCATAGTTTCTGTTCCTCCTTTATCATCTCTAGACATGTTCTGAAGGTTCAGTGTGAGCCAGAGTTCTATGGTGATGAGCCATAGTTTCTAAATCACCCATGTGTTAGCAGGTACTGACCAGCTGGGGTTCCTCTGAGTTACCGGATGACAAACTCTGTTGCTTTTGAGGTTGGAGAGGAGGGCTTTCTGGATGACAGGTTTGGTTTTAAAGGCAAGCTTGCTTGGAATCTGTCTCCTTCCTAACGAAACTGGGTACATCCCTTTTGTGCTTTGATATCCACATTTCTTGCCTTACTGCGTGTTGCTGTGTAGAGCAGCCTAGGCGCTGTCCAATCTCCTTACCAGGCCGGTCAACATACCAGTGCAATTGAACCAGTGAACTGGGAAGAGCAGGGAACGGAAGGGCCTCTTAGAGCCTCTTTTTCTCTTGGAAGTGGCAGTCAACAAGTGGAACTGAGTGTGGCTGGAGACTGCTCCATCGTTCAGGCCAGGTAGAATATTCAGAGAATCTCTAGAAGTACAAGAGGCTGGGACTACCAGCTATTTGATTCCTTTTTGATGATCTGAAGGGGGCAGTTTTTCTCTCAAATTATGGCCTAGTTGCACAATATGTTTGTCCTGGGCATGTCCCCTGGTTGGGGGGCTCTCTGCTTGTCCCAGGCATACAAGTCTGTGATTAGCACAGAGAGAAGGGACTTAGACCTCTCCCCTCATCATTGTCCTAACCTGAACCGGAGAACCACTAATGTAATGTATATTTTGTATCTGATGGTTTGGAAAGAGCTCTGCTGCTAAGCTTCTCATGTGAAAAATACTCCCATCACCTATGAAATCACAATCCTTACCATCTGGAAATATGATGTTGGTCTCTTTTGCAGGTTACAAGTAAAAACCTTGAATAAACATTTGTTGTCTGTAAAGGAAGGAGGAAGGCAAGGCCTGTTCTTGAGGCACTTAATTCTCCTCTACTGCCAAAGCCTCGTGGTTTGATAGCATCTCCCAATTTCCCTCTGGGTTCCAGTGGTTGCACTTTTCTTTGTTGTGTATGTGTGCGCGCACTGTGCCAAATGCTCTCTCGTTTTGTGTGCCTCTCAAGCATGCCACTGTAAATGTGGGCAAACAAGATTCCTAAGGAATGACATTATTAACTATAATATGGTTATTATAGTTTGTGCAGATATTACAAAATGTGTGTATATATATAGATATATAGATAATGGCTAAAGTTCTATACCGTGGATGGTGTGTGTGATTTAAATTTGTGGATCTGTTGCACCTCATAAGCTCTTGTGTAGCAAGAGAGAAGCTATGCTATGCAGACTGACCGTTGGTTTGATCCCTATAATCTCATCCTTGTAGGAGCATAGCTTCTGCCCATCTATGTTTGCAGGAAGGTTTGAACAATGGCTGCTGCACCTGATAACGGAGTTGTTAAGGCAATACATAAGGCTCAGTAAGAATGTATCTGCACCAGCACTTAACTTGATCGCATGCTGCTTTCATTGCTCAGCTGCCCCTATGGGATCAGTGTCAGGGTTCCGAACCTGAGTGGAACTGCAGGGTCTATGCAGCAGACAGATAACGCTTCTGTTGTAATCATGTTCCCAGCCTCTGCTCACCTGCAGGAGTGGCTTTGGCACTGGACTGTCCCATGTTACCTTATCCATGGTTTTTGAGCAACCTAGTACTTTGCAGCTGTTTCTCCTTCTTTAGTTCTGGTGGCAGCAGAAGCCGCATGTAGATTTGGCCATATTCTAATTGCGTGGGTATAGGATTATGATTCTCTTCCTGATGGGCATATCGATGGTTATGTTAAGGTAAACAGGTCACTTGCCTGTGCCCTGAATTCAAAATCCAGAAGAAGAAAAAGATTCTGACGTAACATGCTGGAAACTGCTCTTGCATCTTGGCTGTAGGTACTCTAGAGGGACATGCTGTATTTTGGAAATGGTATGGAGCTGAAGACATCCAATGCATTTGGCCTAACTAGACCCAGGCCAGGGTCCAGCAGACCTAGGTGTGTCAGTCCGTCATAAACATAATGACATGCCTTGGCCAGAATAAAAACTCCTGACCTGGTTTATTTTCTGACATCTCCACAACATCCAATGAAGTAAATCAGCAGGCTGGGAATTGCAACCCTGCTGTTCTCTGGTTCCAAGCATGTCTTTCTCTGCAGTGAAATCTAAGCAGCTTTTTGCACAAAGGGTCTTGTCTGTAAAAAGCCACTGTTCTTGCTTTCTGCCAATGTACTTTGTCTGTAACAGAGCCCCCCCAAGAACTCTTAACCTCACTGTTTATCTGCTTTGCCTGCACCGTCAAGCAAAGGTTCTCTAACATCCAGGAGAAGCAGCTCCTGCAGTTTGGGTCAGTTTGTACAGTTCGGTGTAAGTAACTTGCCGCATTCACACATTTGATATGTATGATGATTTCCCTTTTCTATGTCAAGTAAATATTTGTAAGAGTTATACTCACACAAATGGGATTATTATAATGATTACTAATATATTTTTTCCATGTTCCATTGCCTGAATAAAAACAATGTGTTTCCAACTTGGGAGTGACTTTTCTTTTACTGGCAGAATTTGTTTTCTGAGGAGGGTACTTGTGTGATTGTTATTCTACCATATTTTGATTCACCTACAAGGTCAGACTGGGCTATGAAATTCTAAAATTTTGCCAACCTAGGCCTTTTCCTGGGACATCTGTTTTGCTAAGGCTGGTCAGTGGATGGAGCCAGAGGGCCAGTTTTGGCTGCCCAGGGTGTGGAGCCCATGTGTTGAGATGTTTGGTCAATGGGTTGGATCCAACTAGCTCTTCTGCTGGTAAAAAATAAAAGAAGTGTCCTATTTGACCACTCTGAAAGACTTGAGGATTTGCAGGTATAAAAGCCATATGGGATGGGGGCTGCAGTACAGGGTGAGATTCAGTGAAAAAGCTGACTGGATCCAACCCTGTGGAAAAATATTTTCACCCAACACAAAACACATTACTAAACAGAGGCCTGACAGTTGGCAGTCTTGTGCCAGAGAGGTCTTTGTAAAAAACAAAAACAAAAAAACCCAAAAGAAACAGTGATGCAATGCCATTAAAATCAATTAACAGATCCTGGGGGGGGGGGGGGCACCTTCCCTCAGA